ACAGTCATCCACCATGGCAAATTCCAAATTTCAAAACTCACGACTAACGAAGCTGGGGAAAAATGCAATTCAATGATGAGAAAAATAAGGTCATTTCACATAGGCAAGATAAAAGCAAATGCACAGGTGCAGAATAGGTGGTACCTGGAAAGGATTCAAAAGTTCAAAATGATAAAAATTTAAATATTTTAAACATTATTTTAAATCATTCAAGTGAATGGTTGGTTGTTCCGCAGCAAGTTGGCTACAGCGAGTTATCTTCCAGCAAATTGGCTGTGGCAAGTTATCTCTGTTGTGGCATGTCAGCTGCCGGCCCCTCCAGCAGCCAAATCAGAGGAGGAGGAGGTAGCACGGGAGTCAGGATCAGCATCGGCAACCTGGGAGCTCCAAGCGGGAAGAGGGACTGGAACTATCAGACAGAGAGGGAGGGAGGGAAGGAGGGAGGGAGGAAGAGAGAGAGAGAGGTGGAACCTGGGCCATCCAACAGCCCTCAGATGAAGTCAACAGCCCCCAGGTCTGGAGGTGGCTGATGAGGAAGAGGAGAAACATCTGGGCGCAGTGCCTGGCACATGGATGCACAGAAGGCAGAGGAGAGGAGAGAGCAGTGGAAATCTATGGGCCGGTCCTTGGGACGGAAGAGCCACCACTGCTAGCGAAGCTCCACCCAAGCTCTGGAGATAAAAGGCAGGGGGCAGAGATGAATAGATGTGGCAGGCAATTATTCATCTTCCAAATGGATGGACTTGTTAGCCTGTGGTGAGAAACTTTTTTGCTGGCCTGCCGGCACTTCTAATTAAAGGAATCATCGATTTAACTTCAAAGGGTTTGTTGTGCATGGGAAGTTGGGTTTCATTCCAGTTTGCAAAAACCCAGTCAATGTGAGTAGAGAATGAAGACAAGCCAGGCTGAGTTCCTCATTTTTTTATGTTTCCTTATTGGCGACTGGTCAGCTGGAAAGAAGTTGGGAGTTCTCTGCATTTGAAAGATGTGGGTAATCATGAGCCACGTTGAAAAGATATGGGTTGGCCAGATATGTCAAGGGTGATTCTCCTTGGGAAGTCCTTTTGAACAAACGATAGTGCCATTCCTAAATCTAACTAGAGAATATTGGAGCTCAACATCTTTCCTTATACATTACTCCTTCCCTCCTTTGTGCACCTGCTCGTGGGTGGGTGTCAAAACCTGTAAGAGGATGGGTTTGGTGTTGCAATTGACAGCCCATCCTTTTGCATGTTGAAATCATCGCTTGCAGTAATCTAAGAAATTCCATCTTGACAGGAACAAGGTGGTTTAAGAAAATTGGACACGAGCCTGCCAATGGTTACCTGCCCTTGCATGAAAATAAGAATTACACACCTGTGTGCTCCCATAGAATATTAATTCAGTAATACCTTTGCTGGCCTCCCCAGCCTGATCTCCGATGAGTATCTTTGCAGAGTTCAGTTCTCTCTACAGGCAAAAAGGTGGGAATTGGAAATTCCACATCTGGAGGGCACCGGATGTGGCACAGCTATTTTAGAAACACTATTTAACCAACTTGGATCCTCTGTTTATGTAAACACGATTTTCCCCTGCCAGGGAGGGAGGGAGAGAGGGAGAGGGAGTGGAAGGGAGAGAGGAAAAGAGACAAAGAGAGGGAGAGAGAGAGAGAGAGAGGCGGGCGGGAGGGAGAGAGGAGGGAGGGAGGTGGGAGGG